TAGGTGATTAAATTACACTGAGAATAATTTTTTCTATTTATTTTGTGGATCAAGTTTCCAATGTTGAACAGTTGTAATAATAATGGAGTAGATAAAATTGAATTCAATATATAAATATGATGGCAAGGGCTTGGGTGGGACGAAGTTCATGAAAAAAAAGTTTCAATTCAGTAACCATGAGACGATAAAATGTAATTCACTAAATGTCTTTCACCAGAATGCATTAGCTAACATTTGAATGTCGACAATCCCAGCCCATGATAATACAGATGATGATGATGACGGATCAACTGATCTATGATCTAATCGAATTGAATTGAATTCGTTTCGTTGGACCAGTGAGAAGTGAAAAAAAATTTCTCTTCATCATATTTATCATCATTCCAAGCAATTTGACAAACACCATTGCTCAACATGGGGATAAATTGTAGCCTGATAAAATTTCATGTAGTTACATGATCAGATTTTGAAAGAAATAAAACAAAAAGAACAAAAACTCGACAAAAAAAGAGTCTAATTCTAAGAAGAAAAAAGTTCTAAAACATTATCACGATTATCGAGATATTATGTTTCATAATAGGAACAAAAAAGTAACAAGAATTCAAAGAAATTGCAGAAACACAGACAACACTTCAGAAAAGTTCTGTCTAGAGACAACTTTTCTTTGCGAACTGTAAATAATAGAGAAAAAGTTTTATCGTAAACTGAGAATTTTTCTTATTTGCACTACAATTAGGAGATAAGTTCAACGAAAGATGATCATTTACCCTGATGAGGAGAATCGACTTAATCCAAGGTACGAAAATTAGTGAACATAATTGTTGAAAATTGATTTTCATCATTTGATTTGTTACTTTATGCCATAAACATCTGAAATAATCATCAGCCTTTTTAACAGAAATAATCATCAACAATATAATAAATGTAACCAATGTAATTGCAATAATAATAAACCGAATGTTATTGTTATTATCATCATGATTGTTATTAACATCATCATAATCTGAACGTCATCAACAGAATCATCAAAATCAAACCAAGAGAAAAAAAAATAATCAAACTCATTTCAAGTCCTGGTGATTTAATCGTTGATAAGCCTAATTGCAATTAAATTTGATAGACAATAACAACCAATCATTATGGTAACAATTAATGGTTGATGAATTTGTTACATTGAATAAGCTCTTACTATTACCATGGATTTGGATGGATCCAGGGAGGTAATTTTATCGAGCTCTCTCTCTCTCTCTTCATTTGTTTCTTTCTTTCTAATTACTATGAGATTGAAATGATAAATCAAATGATGATGATTACAATAAGTATTATCCATTCTGGTTGAAGGTGTTAGAAACTTTGAATGATTAGTTTTAATCACGATTGAAATAATCTTGATTATGGTTTTGGTCCAGTAACGTTATTGTTGTGGTTTGAATAACAATCAATTTAATTCCTGATTGTCTCATTCACTTTTCTGTTTACTAATCATTATATTTGATGTTACTCAAGGAGGGAAATGATCATGTCTCAGGTATTCAACTGAACTCAATTGAAAGGTAAGCAAACAAATAAGATTAGATCATTTTTGTTGAAGTTCTTAACTTTGGTCAATCAATTGTTCAACTCAACTGAACCTTTCAATTTTTATCTCAACACCAGCAGATTATCATGGGAATCTTTTGTTTCTTTCTTATTACAATTAATTATCTGAATGATTCTGATCATTTTGATGAACATCTTGGAATTACATGAGAAAATAGAACAGGGAGAGAGACAAATGGTTATCCATTAAAGGAAAAGATCTAATTCTAAGGTTAATCTTCATCTTCGCCCATAAAAATGATTATCATTGTAGAGGATTAATCATGATCCACGATTTCACCTCTGTAATTATCATTAACATTTTATTGGATGAACGAAACTGAAGCTAAAACTTGTAAGAACTTTTTATACACTCGTTGACCTTGAAATTGTTATTCCATTTGTGGATGGGAATAGAAACACATAATATTCATACATGTATGATCCTAAAAATGTTCAGTCTAATTTTGGAATCAGTTGTTTTCTTTTTACTCTGAATAACTATAGCAACTCTGGTTGATTTATAAATTATCCAACCTCTCATGATGATAATGATGCTTAATATTCATCCGAGTTCAAAAAGTTCATCAAACATGAAGTAAAAAAGTGATATCATTTTTTATCACCATCATTATAATCACATAACATAAAATCATCTGTCTAACTCAGTACACCAACAAATAGACAACGATAATTATCATCTTCATAACATCATGATTATAATACATTCTTGTTGAATTATTACATCATCATCATCATCATCAAGTGATAACTTTAACTTGATACAAAATTATTGCTTTTTTGATTCAATGACTTTGATAAACCGAATCCAAAATAATGTTAAATCGTTGCTGGTCACTATTGGTCACTATCATTACAACCATCGTTTCTTTATTTATGGAAAATGATGAATGAAAATGGATGAAAATGATTGATGGAAAATTGGAGTCTATGGTAAAAAATGGTCTCTATTGTTAATGATAGTTGGGAGGGAAAGTGGGAGGTGAAGACTCATTAAATGATTTAATCTGATTGCTGTTAAATCAACAGAAAGACAGATATAATCATGATGAATTTTAAATGAACATGATAACCGAGAAAAGTTATTCAATGAATATTCAGCCGGATTCACATTTCTTTACCCGAGCATAACCAAAATAATCATAAAGTGTCTCATTCATTTCATGTGATATATTTTTAAGTATTTCAATGATTAATTAAATTCCCTATAGTAATCAATTGATCAATTAATCTTTTATCATGATTCTCATTCTTAAACAATCTGAGTGGATATCATTTCTATCCACTAGATTGTCCAGATTCTCTTGAATATCTCGTAAGAGTTTCAAGTCGACTTTGAGTAATTAAAGGAACCAGGAAAACATTTTGCTTCCTCATGCATCACTTGATTGTTATTCAGTTCAACTCCTTACCCACCCACACTTTGCTTCATTATTTTCACCATGTATCATTCTGACCAGTAACATGAACTTACTCGTTCAATTATTGTAAGTAAGTTACTAATTTTCATCATATTGTGTTTGATACAAAATCTGTCGATGCAGAAAATCATAAACTCAGTTTAATATACACAAAAGCTGAATTGATATCTAAGATAAGGTTATGTTCTTGGTGCCATATTTAATGAACATTTTCCTTGGTTACTGAACAGAAAATTCAGAAAACTTTTTATACCAATAGCATTCTTGAAATATTCTTGACAAAACTTTCATGTAATATTCAGAAAATGTTAATTATTTTGAGATATTAAGTCGATAATTAATCCAAAAATGTTTCTACAACTGCAGATTCAATGAACCAAATGAATACAATGTAAGTTCTGTCTCATTAGTTGATTTTATCAATTAACTTTATTCAAAATTGTGGTTTTCCTTCATTTTTTGATGCCAATAATTACTTTAAGTTAATTGTTAATCACAAAAACCACTGAATAGCATTACTGCTAATTCACTGGCAAATAAATTGTCATCTTTGATTTTCTTGTTCTTTCTAATATTTATTTACTTTGTTAACAAAATGCCCTCTGGTTATTTTATTAGCTTCTTCTTTCTTTCTTTATTTTTCTCTTTCTCTTATCTTTGTAATCGAAAGGATCTAATGGTTTTTACATGCTGTGAATTCAGAGCCTTATGAGTTATCAACAATACTCATAAAAGTATTCTTGTTTTTCTTACATGGGCTTTGATATTCGAGAAAAGTACATTACAAGTATAATCGCAAAAAACAGATGATCTTCGTTCTTAATATTATTCCAAGCCCTTTGGGTATAAACTAAATGAACAGAATGTGGTAAAATGTATTAAGATGTAAAGTTTTTACTTCTTTTCCCAAATATTTGCCCTGATTTAATTTCGACCGGCAGCTTAACAATTGTTCAGATTCATTCCACTATCTTGAGGAAATACCGAAATCATCACCGAAAAATGGGTAATTATCAGAGAGAAAATAATGAATGTAAATAGAACACAATTCGTGCATGTGAAAAAGATTGGAGTTCAATTGCTACATGTCAAAAGGCTTATTAATATGACATTTTCACTATAATCACGATAATTAACTCAGTATAATAAGTTGAAATAAGTTAACACTTCTCGATTGAGCATTTGGTAAATCAACATTTGATTCATCATTAATAGCTATGATAATTTGAAACCGAATCGTCAAACCCTGTAAATGTTATCATGAATACCAATTCAAAACGATTCTGAGACTTTCATTATTAAGATAATAATTTTCTTAGAGCATTCCCTTAACTCTGGTAATTGTACATAATGATAATACGATAATAATGATAGTCTAATGAAACGCAGGGGAATCGGAGATTGTTACAACTGAATGAAGCCCATGAAAATGATGAAGATTTGAAATTTGTAACGTCACATATAAATAACTTATCTGAATTCATGATTAAGTCAAAATAGCGAGAACTTGAAGCAAAGAATGTGAATACATTTAGAGTTGGAACTTTTTTTCTTTCATAACAGGAAGGAAACTTCAATCAGTCTGAGATAAGATCATGATATTAAACAAGAATCAGGGAGAGATAAAAAACGGTTGCAATAATCACTTAGAGCGATGATCATCATCATCATGAAGATGAAGTGAATCTTTCAAGGACCAGGGACATCGCGTGAGTGAGTTAATCTTGTGAGTAGAGTCAAATGTGTAGATACTCATGATACTCTTACATTTTCATGATAAGTAATTTCCATTCTCTAAAGTTCATTAAGATAATATGAAATATCTTTAGTAATTATTGTTGGTAAAGTTTAGTCAAAAAATCATTAATTAGAAATCACAGTGATGATCAACATTGAAGTCCAATTGTGGCAAAGTAAACGTGATTAGATTTAATTTAATTCGGTTGATTAATTTTTTTTTTCTTCTCTTATTGTTTCAAGGATTTACCGAATTGATTGCATTCACTGGAACTAAGGCTCGACTAACATGTAATGCAACCATGTGGAGTGATGATGTCTCTCTCATCATTTGGTATCGAGGTATAACTGGGAAACCACTGAATAGCCTCGATGCAAGGAGATCTTCATCATCTCCAGCCACATCCTTATCTTCATCTTCTTCATCACCATCTACCTCATCTATAAATATCAACAATTCGGATGGACAATCAACGGATCCATCCAAATACTATTTTGATACCTCATCAGATCCATCGGTTTTCGTTATCGATCGAATCACAGAATCCGATTCAGGAGATTATCGTTGCCGGATAGATTATCGATTATCAAGAACTCGAAACTATGTAGTTCGCCTTAACGTAATCTGTAAGTATAGTTGAATTCAACAGTATTTCTTAATATATCATGAACTTTAGCTTGATAAAAGTAAATGGAAAAGTCCATAAATGATGAATTGTATTAACTGCCAATGTAAATAGATTGGAATAATTGGAAAAAAAAGTTCTAATCCAGAAAAGCATTCGTATCGAAAAGCTTTCAATCACTTGCAGGAAGACCTAAAATTAACTAACAGTATAAATATAAGCCAATTCTCAATAAGTTTCCATGATAGATTCATGTCATTCCATCAACACTCAACTGAATGGGATTTTTTTGTTCTGATATCTAGTTTGATATTCAATCCTTTGAAATACAAATATGTCAATCTGGATATCATTAGTTAACTGATTGACTTGTATTGTTATCCTAAGAGGGTGGTAGTCACTGGGCAGGAGGTTGATTGTTGATCTGTTAATCTGATAACAATGACCATCTAATGGATTGTGATTATCTATGAGTTACTGATCATTGCTGTTAGTTGAATGAAAATTTCAACCAACGTTTTGATATGTTATACTTGCAGTTTATTAATTGTTCTGGTTTCTTGTTTACTGGATTAATGATTGTGATAATTTGTCTTTTTGTTTATCATTGTCATCATTATCATTATTGATTAGTTTCTGTCTGTCTATTAATTGATTGCAACTTTTTTTTTTCATCGTTCGATTATTATCATCGGTTACTCTTGATTGTTTGTAATCAGTATAATTGAACAGATTCAATATTATACAGTTGATTTAGATTTGTTATCATGTTGATAATTGATTTAAACTGATTAATGGTCAGATTATTGAGATATTGTTCTTACTATGATTTATGATAAACCTAATTGATTGTAAAATTTGTACTAAAAGGATGTGATTAGTTTTAATCTTTGGTAATTTGCTCAATGACATGTGATTTTTGGTCTATTGAAGATTCAAAGAAATGATTAGCTACGTTAATTTGTAATTATTTTTGATGACGATCAAGATGATTAGATGATAATGTTAATTGTGTAAGTTGGTAATTGTTTACTTTGTTAATTTATCTCTGATTCTTGTTATTTAGCTCAGAGTTTTATCTTCCAGAAAATGGATGTAAGAAATGATATAAGCTGAACTGAAAATAGGTTTGTCAACATTTGATTGGAAATGAGACTCATGAGGATTACATGATATTCAGTTACATGATAGGAAAGAGTAAGATAAGAATTCATTAATTTCAATTTTCCAATTGTTCATGATGATTCATCATCATTAAGACCAATAAATACAAGAGAGAAAGAAACAGGGAGAAAGATGAGAGTTAAAGGATAAGGTGAGATGTGAAATAAAAGGATAACAACTAAATAACAACGAGAAATAACAAGAATCTACATTTACAGTCAACATCATCTTTCATCAACCCAAAGTCTATCGCGATCATTTTCATCCTAATGAAGCATCATGAAGAAATATCATCAAGTTTCATGAGCATCATGATGATATCATCATCATGTTAGAATGAGACAAAAATCCAATTCAAAGAAATAAACAAAAGCCATGATGAATTGTTCTGCTCAATCTATGAACCAGAAAAATAGTTATAAGCAAAACTCGAGTCATTAAGATGAGAAACCGAATAGTAATAAATATAAGAATCATCAAAAACGCAATGAAAAAAAAGGTTTGGACTTTGAGGTTGAAGATGAAGATGAAGAGCTGATGGTGAAAGATGAAAGATTCACTTGAACATTATAATGATGATGGAAATGGATAAAAGAGATAATAACAAATCTCATGGAACATGGTAAATAATAGTATATGCAAAAAGCATTTTTCAAAGTAGAAAGACAAATCTCTCAGTTGGTTATTTTTTCTCCATCTCCATCTCACTCCCACCATCTTCAAGACCTTAATTCATTCCTATTTCCTCATGAGGTTTCACCTTTTACTCTATTAACTACTATTAGAATTAAGACCAAAACCATTGATTTCAATGTAAATGATAGATCATCATCTTATCTCCATCATCAGAATCATTTCGAATAACCAACATTCTAACTACTTTTCTTTTGAATCTTGTTCTAACATTTTTTTCCCTCCCTTTTTCTTTTCATCCCATTATCATCATCCAACCTCATTCTTTTCCGCTGTTAATGTTTGACAAAATTCTCTTCAAAGTAAACAAAACAATTTCATTTTAACACCTTATTTCCGCTTCCTTAACGAACTAAGTAAACATTCAAAGTCTCTTTTGCTTGTTATCTATTTGATTGAGTTGGGAAAGACTTTTGTCTTTACCTCCAACTATTAGAACTTGAAGAGTATAACTGAGAGAAAATAATCTGACAGGGTTTATCCTTTTTACCTTCTATTATCATCTAAGATGATGAGGATGATGATGATGATGATACAGATGATGAGGTATAACGGTAAATACAAAAAGAAGTGAAATTTTCTTATAAGAAACTTTGTTTTCGTATTAAATTATTTTCATGATTCTTATAATTGGATAATCAAACGAGTTTAATTTACATTAACTCAAGTTGATTGTTGAAACTAACAGGGAAACAACAAACAAATGTAAGTAATGTTTAATCAAACAATTAACATAATGAGCACATTAGATTTAATTTTATTTAATCAATTTCATTCATTCAGAACTTTTTTAACCTCATTCTCTCCCGCTGAATCTTTGTCTCCATCAAAAAATGATGGTGGAAACCATGGAAACTGAAACAATTTAGATTCTCCTGATTACTGTAAACAATCATAATGGAACCGGAAACAGAATCACCCAATTTTGCTAAGGCTACTCATTAAATTATTAACCCATTATCTTATCTGAATTTTTAATCAGATTATCATGATTAAAGCAGTTCGTTGATTAGTTTAGACTTAAAGCTTAAGGTGTGTACTCAGATCATATTCATGCTGACAGATTTGTATTGCACAGAATCAACATTATCTTCAGCTGAGTTGACACTTTCTTTCGTGGGAGTAATTGTTGATTGAAGGTGGATTAACTTTAATCTTAATCATATTCAGTGTTTATCAAACTTTCAACAAAATTCTCTGTCAACATGATCATCATCATCATGGTTACTCAATTTCATCACATTGAAAGATATTCAATGATTCAGATGATTCTTTCAATGAAATATTATCATAGGACGTGATGGGCCATTAAAAGGTTGAAGCTTTATCATAATGATAATGGTGATAAGTTTGGACACTAAAGGTTAATTAGCTGGATAAAAGTTCAGAGGAAGTTCAGATCGATATAATCAGCTAAGAAGATAAATTAAAGTGAAGCAAGAGGAAGGTGATCAGTGATTAAATTAATGTAATTGGATATTATCAAGTCAACACAATTGAGCGGATTCAAATTTAGATTGAATTGATTAAGAATTATTTTTTTCTCTTCTCACTTTTATCCTCTTAATCCTCATTAATCATGATGATCATTGGAATTGTATAAATGATGTTGTACCATGTAACTTTTTATCCTTTCTGTTTGAACTGATACAATTTTCGGATTGATGATTAAAAGGATGGATCAGCATGGAGTTCAGAATATCTGTTGAGAAAATTCTTGAGATAGAATAAGATTTAGAAGAATAAACTTTATTTTCCTTTTCAAACCAATAATTTCTCCACAATAAACTCTATGAATCGTACAGAAATAATGTTCACCATGTTATCAATCAGCTGAGGAAATCAATTGATTAATCAATAAAAAGCAATCCAATTATAATCAAAATAGATGAGAAAGACCAGAAGATGAACTCAATCAAGGTCACAATTGATTGAGATTAAATTATTCTCATTGATTATCATTAACGTTGAGGATGAAACATTTTTTTTTTGTCAATATGATAATAAATTCATTGTGAGTTGATGGTGATAATTATCATGAAAAGATTCAGTATTGAGTTAATCTCATCAGATGAAAAAACATTTTGATCAAATCCAGATTAATATTGTACTTGTTGGGTGTTAATTTTATGGTTATACATAAAACCAATCATAACAATAACTAACAATGGGATTTTTGTGGGTGGGGTGGGTTAGGTATTTATCATATACTTGACTTGTAATAATAATAAATATCCTCATGATGCATTATCATGGTGGTTAATATATTATATATAAAAATGAATATCAACTGATATTGAGATGTTTATATTTAATATTGAATAGATATTAGCTCTTGATGACTATGAGGATGATTTGAATGGTGAAGGTGATCCATGATGATCATGAGGACATGATGAGAGTACAATCACTCGGATAACCTGGAAAATGATAAGATCATTTATTTGTTGACATATTGTTCAGAATCTCAATTCAGTTGCTCAAACTCTGAATTTGTATTCTTATTCTTTTGCATTACTCTTTTTACCCTCAGAATCACAAGTATTTCTAATTTCCTATTCAAGGGAATCGATTATCTGATTCCCTCTCCCTGATGTACATTAACAGCAACCCAATCATTAAATTGTGCTCCTCTTTTATCTTCCTTATCATCAAAAGATGAGACAGAATTTTGGTGGAAAAGAAAGAGACAGATAAGAGAAGGTGGAAGTGGGAATTAGAGTAAAATAGTCTCATGATGAAGTCAGGGTGTGGGTTAGACAGAAGGAAGAAGATGATTATGATTATAATGATGATAAAGATAATGAATTGAGGGTTAGTGAAGATGAGGTGTGATTATAATGAAAATGAGGGCGGAGATCGGAAAGTGGGCTGAATGATGGATAATTTAAGAGAAGCATCTTAATCATTAAACAAGCTAATTTTTTTCTCTCTTTTAATATTCATAACCTCGGTTTTCAATGAACTTTTATTTCTCATCAACTGAAACTCAAGAACTATTTAGTTGAGCTACTTGGGAATTCACTGTTGACTGTTTACTATCTTTTCTTTTGGGTGGGACTGATGTTTATACCTTTTGATATCAAAATCTGAGATAATCTCACCTCATGTTTTCAGAGATGAAACATTTTGTTCATTGATGAA